GCCTCATGGTCTTCCTAAATGAAATAGGAAAGGATTTTCTATCCTTTGGGGGTAATTCTTCTAAAAACAAAAAACTCAATTTCCAAACAGCTGAACCACAACGAGTCCCATTTATTCTTTGGGGATGTGTGTTCTCTGCTTGCCAAATGAGAGGCTTAGTTAGTGACTTGCCCTCCCTTACACAATAGGAAGTCGGCTCTGGGAGGTCTTTGACCCCATCACCAGACCTGCTCAGCTAAAGTTATGTGAAGATTGAGCAATATTGAGAAACAATTCAATTTACCAAGAGCTCGAGAGGACTAGAGTTCTATCAGCACCAAGATTCCGCTGGACACTCGTCATGCAGGGGATCCATTGAAGTACACTAAAAGGAGATTTATACTGTAGAAGACTGCCTCCTGAAGAGTTAGGCATCTCAGAACCTCGGGGAGGAAGATAATGCCTGAAAATACAGGTCAACTCATGAAGTGCTTTAGCATATAAAACGGGAAAGGATGAACATATAAATCTCTTTGAAGATGGCATGATATTTTGTTTTCAAAAGGGAGATGTTGATTTGAGAAGCATTGCTGTAAAATGTAAACTTTCACGTACAGGCTGAGCAGTTGGTGTGTAGGATGCTCAGAGATGAGGCCCACAGACTTTGGAGCCAGACTGTCTGGGTTCAAATCCTGGCTGTATGTGTGACATTGGCAAATTGCCTCAAACTTTCTCAATCTCCATTTCCTTTCTCCCTTGGAAAGTGAAAATGTGGTATTAAAGGCCACATTACAAGGTGTCTTGGGAAGCAAGTATTATTATTTATGTTATGTAGGAATGTGTCAGACATATAGGAAGTGTCCAGCCATGGTTGGTTTTATTTTGAAACATTCTTTGATTTCCTGCCTTTTCTCTTATTATCCTTAATCTTTCTAGGAACTTCAAATCCTTGGGTCTTCAGGTTCTTGTCAATTGGTCAGTGAGGTTCAAGATGAATTTTCTATAGTTCTAATGAACATATGCACATAGTTCTGACAATAGAGTGACAAGGACAACAATACAGCTGTCATTTGGTTGTCTATCATGCATCCTTCGGTTTCTACAATTTTTAAGTGGAACCCTGACTCATCTCCCCATTGCTATGTTATCTGGAGAAATTTGAAACCTATCTTTAGCTACAGGGACTGGATTGAGCAGTGGAAGCCAATTAGTGTAATCCCATTTCCCATGATGATTATTGGTTTAGAAGTAGACATGAAACACGCTGGGAAATTGTTGGCTTGGGTTCTCTATTTTTTTTCACTCTTAAAAGGGACACGGAGGAAAGGAGGCATTTCCTTCCTCCATCTTTTCTTTTCTTTTCCTTTTTTGAGAGAGAGAGATTAAATTCACCACTTTTAAACATTTGTTGTCTGACTTGCATATGGTTTTCTGGCTACAGAGCACTCGTATGTGTTTCCTGAAAGCATCAGCTCGGCCCTCATACAGAAGAGCCTTTTTGTTCCCGCTTGGTCCAGTTCTCCAGATGCTCTTTTCTATGCTACAGATTGGCACTTCAACTGTCCCCTCTTTAGTGAGACTTCTCTGACTTAGTGGAACCCCACTCACTCTAAAACATTACCCCTGATTATGAAGGTCACTCTCTGAAATGATGGTGCTCACATTAATTTGCCCCCATTAATAGAAGCTCACAGTTTATTCAGATTTTATTAGTTTTGTCTAATGGCCTCTCCTTCCAGGATCTCATCCAGAGATGTTACACATAGTTGCTATGCCTCTTTACATAAATCTTGGCTGGGACAGTTGCTATGGTATTTTGAGAGCCTTGACACTTGAGAAGGACTGGGCAGGTATTTTGCAGGACTTCCTCTACTGGAATCTGTCGGATGCTTTTCTAATGATTAGCCTGGAGCTACAGGCTAGGGCCATCCTATGTATCCTCGCCAGGGTTCCACTTCATGGTTCACTTTAGTTGCCCATGTGCCTTTCCCATCTTTAGAATATTCAGCTACGTGAAAGTAGGGGCATTACTGTTCTCAGAGCTTTATTCCCAGAATCCAGAGTAGTGTTGAGCACATAGTAACCCTCACTGTTTGTCAATGAAAACAATGAAGTCAGTAGAATAAATGACCAATTGCAGCCTACTGTCTTTGCGTGTGAAATGAAATATGGGTCAAGAAGATCCATCGAGCAGAGGTCAAAGGCACTAAAACCCTTTCAAATAATATGGCATATCCACGAGATAAATCTAAACCCTCATGCAAATAAATAATTAACCCAGGGCCAATGGCACATTCAAAATCATTAATGAAAATTGATTTTCCTTCCCTGTAGGGTGCCTCTCTCTACTGCACCATCATGCCCTCTGCAGAGTGAGCCAGGGTTTTTTCCCGTTTTAACTCACGTCTGCTTAGAGTCTTCTTTCTCCCAAATGGCACCTGCTTCTATACAGATATTTGTTTCCTCTTAAAATATTTGGTTTGGTTAGCCTGAACAGGAAGAGGGTACGGGTGACTTGAGGAGCTAAACTCTAATGAAAGAATGGGCTTGACTGAGAGGGCTACAGTGAAGGGAGGACGGAACCCCTGGGACTCAGTCTACTGACTCAGTGCAAAAGGGAGCGGAGCAGCAGCCTGCTAGGGAAACTTTATATATGAGTGTGTGTGTGTGCATGTGTGCGTGCGTGTGTGTGTGTGTGTGTGTGTGTTGCATGAATTGATAGAACCTGGGGGACATCTCCAGTCCCAGGCATTTGAACATAAAATACCAGTGGGAGCTCCCTCATGGTCATGAAGGGAGCTCAGCTGGCTTGAGAAGGGAGGACTATTTGTATTCCATTCAGACTTCCTTTAACCTTTCATTTGGGAGCCCGACAAAGCACAGGCACATCTGTCAAGGCTTCAGATGAATGAAGAAAGCTTTTGTGCATTATCCTCGCAGATATTCAGAAGAGCTTACTGGAAAGCTGTAGTAGGAAGACTTCATCTCTAGTCAGCCAGGCGGTGGGGGTGTCTCAGCCATGATCACCTCTAACAAATCAACTTCCTGACTTTGTGTAACCCTCTCAATCAATTTATTGGAATGAGAACTTCCCTAGGTAATTAGCCGCATTGTGTATCACTGGTTTGAGTGTTTGCTTTCCCTAGCATTCCTTGGGGTAGGTGACTAATGGGTCAAATGCCACACAGTTACATGAGAAGATTAACTATTACACAGCATTTCTTAATGTTCTACCACCATGACACGTCTTTGTGTTTCCTTGACAGCCAGATGCCACACAGGGGAGCACCAGAGATTTCATATCCACATATTTAAAGCAAAGAAAGCAAGTTTAAAACATGGTCCAACTTCAGAAAGGTAAGACATGGGAAATTTTTGCAACACAGAGCTAAGAGAATCTGAGACAGATCTCATCATGCGAGTGCTCCTAGGGACAGATCTCATCATGTGAGTGCTCCCTACTTGCTGAGCCCATTCCTCGCACTGGTAACTCTAAAGACTCATGCACCCTGAGTGTAGGATTAGATCTCCAGCTTTCCCACAACTCCTCAACCTGAGCTGGTTAAGGAGGTAGTCTGGGAGATCTATACATCCCACAGAAGAGTCCCATGTAGGCAACTCTCCCACCAACACTTTCTATCTTCACTGGACCTCAGTAAGATCCCCCACAAGCCTTCAGTCTGCCATGGTTGTATATAAATTTTATCTCGTCAAACCAGTCTCAGCCCCTGAATTATGACTCTTGCTCACTTCTTCAGTCTACTTGCTGAATGCAGCCTTGGTCACCCTTCACATCTGTACATTCTTTGACTTAGCCTTTTCCATAGTGTTTGAAAACGACTAGAAGAGCTCAAGGCCCAAGTAAGTTTTTAATCTCTCTAGCCAACTAGACTTGTTATCTCTCTATCTCCCATCCTCATGCCTATCCCTATCCCAGTTCCTCCTCTCATTCATCTCTATCTCTGTCATTCCTGTCTCTATGTATTCTTATCATCGCTACCTTTCTCCATCTCCATCTTCTCTATCCCCATCTCTATCATCTCTATCATCTATATATCATCATTATCTCCATCATTTCTATCTCTACCATCTCTACCATGTCTATTTTTATCTCTCTATCATCTATCTCTATCATCCCTATCCCTATAATTTCTATCTTTATCATCTCAACTTTAGCTCTAGCTCATCTCTTTCTTCTGATACTGAAGATTGAGGCCAGGATCTTGTAATACTAACCCACACTCCTATTAGTACTGAGCTGCATCTCAAATCTCTACGTGGTTTCTAGATAGCATTTATTCACCTTTAGGAACTGAAAAGAAAATCCAATTTTATCTGCATCAGGAGCATGAGAACTTCAAGGTGAAGTGTTATTGTTTCTTTTGAAAAAACTTTCCCCCAACCTCTGGCAAAACTCACAGGCCTGTGCTTTCTGAAGTCTCACAACACTCTAAATTGTACTACAAATTAAATATATGTGCCTTGGCCAAGCCATGCTTCAAATGGAAGTGTTTACCCTACACCTGAGAAACCCATTAATGGGGAGGAAATGAGTGTCTCTGCTACACCATGTCATTTGGCCTGGCTTGTTACAAAGCTCCAAGGATACCTCATGAGTAGGACTGGTGGGGATCAAGTCTTTGAAAGTTTCTTTGACCACAGACCTCCCAAGATACCAGCAGAGAAAGGGGTACTGGAGTAAAAAATTCTCCCTGCATACTTTTTCCTTAGAGGAGCTGACTGAGAGGCTGGTCGGGTGACTCATTGGTCCCAGCCTCTGACCCCGGCCAGACCTGCCCTTCAGCTTCTGAATTTCTGGAGAAGCCTGCAGGACGCCATGCAGGAAGTGACCTCATGGTTATTTTGGCCATGTGGGTGGTGTCCATCACTGGTAGCAGCTGAAGTTTATCAGAAGGTTTAGCCTTTGCACTTTGACAAACCAACTATTATCTCACCCACAATTTAGAATAATAAAAAGTGCATGGCAAAAAAAATGTGCAGTAAACCAGATAAGGAACAACTCGGAGAGCGAGAACTTGCTGTTCCTGCCCACATAACCCAGGGAAGCAGACATCTGCACTCTGCAGTCACATTAGGGAGGTGCTACCTGTACCAACTTTGAGTAGGTAAGCTCTCTCCCTTCCTTGCTTCCTTCCCTTCTTTCCTTCTTTTTTAGATAATAATTTATGTTCATTCAGTAAACAAGAGACCATTTAGTGACTTTTAAATGCTCTACTTTTAAAATCATTGGGGCTAGAGGGGAGGCTCAGCAGCTAACAGAACTTGCTGCTCTCATAATGGATCACAGTTCAGTTCCCAGCACCTATGCTGGTCTGCTCAGAACTACTTGTAACTCCAACTCTGGGTGATCTGATGCCCTCTTCTGGACTTTTTGGGCATCCTCACACATGTGTGCATACACATATGTACACATTAATAGAAATAAATAAAATTGGTGTATATTAATTGTGCAAAGTAATGGTTTCATTGTGACATTTGCATGCATGTTTCCAATCTACTTTGGTCATACTTATTCTCTCTGCTACCCTTTCCAGTCTCCCCCCTTTCCTTTTGCCTTCTATATCCCTACTAGCCCACCTTTTACTACTCAGGTCTGATTCCACATTGAGAGAAACAGTGTACTATTTGCAAGGCTGGCTTATTTTGCTTAACATGATGTTTCCAACTCGTCCATTTTTCTGCAAGTGACATGATTTCCTTCTATGGCTAACTAGAACTTCACTATGTATGTTTTAAATTAATTATTTAGTGTGTGTTTATAAGCACAAGCACTTGTGTACCGTGATGTTCATGTAGAGGTTAGAGGATATGGGGTTTAAATCTCCTTATTATTCTGCCCATCTCTTTAATCTCCAGTTGCCGTGCAGGACTATTGTGAGGATTAATTGTGCCTATGCACGTTCAACTCACTGACTCCTAATACCATCATAAACGCCTCTTCTCAATCTTTGCTTCATGTTTAAATTAAAACTAAGATTATTTTCAACTGTTTAGAGGACTATGGTAATACTTTTATGGAAGCATCATCCAATTATTTTACTGGAGAAAAAAATCATTCAGAGAGTTGCAGTACCTTCAAAATTTGGGCAGAGCACCTCTGACCATGTCCCTAATCAGAGGACCTATATAAAACATCATTGTAAATTCTTGATCCGTAGACCTTTGGTCCCTGGGGACCTAAAGACATTCAAATGGGTAAGTTGGGTCTCAAGGTTGGCCATCGTCTGGCTCTTCTTCATTGCACTTACTAAGCTGAACATGGAGAAGTGAGTTAGCTTCATCACTGGATGATGAGATTTCATACAAATATGCTTGCTCCAGTTCTCGCCGAGACCCAAGTGGGTAGAAATGGGATGAGAGAATTCCCAACCTTCAGTGTGTGCATTGTCAAGGGAAGCCATGGTTTGTGGGCCTTTGAGAAGTCACAATCACTGTGCAGTCATAAATGTCCTTGAGCAACCACAGCTTATCTGGAGTGTCACTTTTCTATGGTGTCTAACAGCTACCGTGGCTTTCCAGTGTGGAAGATGATATGAGGGTAGTTGTGTCTCTGCTTGTAGGATTCCTGAGTGAAAGTCAACAAGTTCTCCAAAAGGAGTTTGTCACAATGTGAACTCATAGAGTGAATGAAGGCTGCATAGTAATGGGAAGTTACTCACATACCGTAACAGACGCTCACAGCCATCTGGCTGTCTGGCCTTCCTTCCATACCCACATTACTTCTTGCTGTAATGAGGTTAATGGGAATTAATACATATGTATTAGGGAAAGGAGAGACCCTTGGGGATATGAGCTAAATATCAGTCCAGTGCTTCTCTCTAGGTAGATGACAGGGTACTTGAGGGAGCACTGAGTAATGGTTGAAAGATAAATTACACACAGGCTAGTCAATATCTTACCAATTAGGCTTCCTCTATTCCTGAAGAGTACATTTCTGAGAAAAACACTGGCATCCAAGCAGTTCAAACAATTATGTCTTACTGTGTCCTTTCATGGGGCAATTTCTTTACACACTGACTTTCATCCAAATAGACAACAGGAACATAAAGCATTTCAAAGTTGTGCCTGGGGGAATGGCATTCATAGATTAGTAGGCAGCAGCCATCCCACAAGGCAGTGCTAGAGGAAGGATACCCACAAACTTTGTGGTGTCCTGGATCAGGCTGCTTGGTCCTCTCCCACCTCCTAAGGAGCAAAGGATTTGAGCAGACTTCTTTACACGCTGCCTTTCTGTCTTCCCATCAGCGCTATCTCTAGTCCATGCCATTAATTATTTGTATAATACCCGCGTTGCAAAACATAGATCATGGTTTATGAGCACTAGACAGTGCTTCTCTGCAACTTATATCACATGGCTCTATCAACCCACTGTCTAAACATTCATTCAGAGGCCTGCTTGATTGTCCGGATGAATTGATTTTGCGCTGCCTCTGTGTTCCTATTAGAGCAGTGTTTTATCTCCATGTAGATATACACACACACTCAATACTCACTGGTGCTAAAATAAATATTGTGACTTTGTGGAGAGAATGGCCCGACAGAGTAACAGGAGGCATCAGATGGTCCGTATCAGTCATGCAGACAGGAGTGCAGCTTGGAGCTGGCTCGTCTTATTGTTTTGGGTTCTTCCCTTCCCTCTAAGCTGGGGAACGGCTCTGTTCTTCATCAGATCAAAATCCTGTACAGTGCTTGTAGACGGTCAAGTCCATCCATTGGACTTGTCCAGTGAGAGGCTTTACTCCAGGTATCTACTGACCTCTTAGCAAGTGTGTGCTGAGCTCTATGGGAAATTTCAAAGAGCAATTCTTTAAAATGTGAAAGCCAGAATGGCTCAAGATTGAATTTAGTGTTTCACCAGCTATATTGAGATCTAATTCATGTATCAAGCAATCCATCCATTCAGTGTGTTTGTAGTGTGTTGGGAATTGAGTCTCATTATCACCACAATCATTTTGATAATCTATGAGAGAAATCTCATATCAATGAACAATCACCTCTCAACTTCCTCTCCTTAAGCCCCCTTGCCCCGGGCAACCTACTAATTTATCAATTTATCTTCTCTATGATTTTGCTTCATCTGGAATGCCTCTTATATAAAAGGAATCAATATGTGGTTTTTGTGACTGGCTTCTTTCACTGGGAATAATGTATTTGAGATTAATCAATGATGAAACATTTTATCAATACTTTGTTATTTTATTGCTGAATAATATTCCATTATCTGGATATACAATATTGACTTACCCACCCATCAGTTGATGGACACTTTGGTTGTGCTCATATTTTGACTGTTATGTATACGACTCCAAAAATGATACAAACATTTCCATTTCTTTTGTGAGCATATTAAAGAGTGCTATTCTATGTTTGAACTTTAGTGGCACTACCAAACTATTTTCTAAAGTGTTGCACATTTTTATACCATCAGTAGTATGGAAGTGCTTTAATTTCCCAGCTCATTTCTCAATGCTTATTGTCTTTAGTCTTCTATATCTATGGTAGTGAATGTGAAGTGTGGCCTTAAAACAGCTTTTATTTGTGCCCACTTGTGACTAATATTGTTGAATGTATTGTCACAAGCTTATCAACTGTTTGAATATCTTCTTTGAAGAATGTCTCCTTTAGATACATTGCTCATTTAAAATCTGGGCCATCTTTTTTTTAATCATTGAGTTGTAAGCCTTCCCCAATATTCTAGCTATCCAGCCTTCGTGATGCTGCCTTTTGCTTTCTCCCATCCAGTGTGCTGTATTTTTATCTCTTTGATGATCTTTATTGAAACATAGTCATTTTTAATTTTACTCAGGTCTACTTTGCCCAGGGGTATTGTTTCCTTGTTCATTTTTGTCACTTGTACTTTTAGTGTCCTAGATACAAAGGCTTTGGCTAATGCTGGCTAAAATATTTACTCCTGTAAATCTTTAGTAAAGCTTCCATTCTTTCTAACTTCCCATTATTGGAAGTTATATATGGAAACATAGTATCAACACATATAAATCTCTAAGTATTACATTTGAAATGTCTATCTTTTCATTTCTGCCAAATTTTGCTTTGTCTTGTTTATTATTTCTTATAATTGTTATATCTTCTGCAAGAATAGACTTTTTGAACAACATGTTTGTCTTCACGTTTGTTGGTCTGATATTAATCCAGCCACTCTGTCGGCAAACGTTTCTGTCCTTCCAGGTCCCGCCACCCTTCAGCCCCAAATAAGCACACAGAGACATATTAATTATTAAATTGTTGGTCAATGGCTAGGGCTTCTTATTGACTAGCTCTGTCTTAATTATTAACCTGTAATTACTAAACTGTGTATTTCCAGAGAACACCTGCCACGTCCTACCTTCCTGGTCTCTACATGGTGCCTCTTCATGGCCTCCCTCTGCCTTCCTCTCCCCAGCCTTCTCCTGGTCTGGTTGCCCCCCTATGCTTCCTGCATGGCTATTGGCAAAACAGTGTTCTATTTATCAACCAATAAGAGAAACATATATACAGAAGAACATCCCCATCACCACTCCAACTTTCTCACATATAAATAATACAGACAACATATGTGTGTATTTCTGAATATATAAAGGATGCTTTAAAAATAAAAATTGTAATCATCCTATATGTATTTCCTATAATCAAGCAACTCTAGTTCACCAATGTAGCAGAGATATGTGGGTACGCTTAAAGAAAGAGCATATGCTGGGAATAAAATATTCATACAAGTAGCATTTGTAATAGCCTCAAATTGAAAACAACCAAAATGTCAACTAGTGGAATGGATAAGCAATTTGGGGAATGTCTAAATTATAAAATATTAATTTCAGAGAGATTAAATGATATATAATATACACATGTATGAAATTTCACAACATAGTACTGAGTTAAAGACAGACACAAAAGAGTATTTATGTATACTCTTTTAGACATTTAGAGTTGTGTAGATAGAGTATGAAAAGCAGGTAAATTTTACTATTGAAATCAAGAACATGGTTATGCTTAGTCATGAACTGTTAGCAGAGGGATATTGTGGGAAGTTTCTTTATGTGGATCTGGCTAATCATTATATTGTAAAGATCAACTGAGGTATGTGCTCTTTAAATACATGCCTCATACTTCAATTAAAACTTTATAGAAGGTTGTGACTGGAATAAAATGTGGAATATTTCACTTTTTTCTTATGAAAGAAAGATAGTTTATACAAAAATCCTGGTGAAGATAGAACAAAATGCTTTTTCACCAAGCTCACTTATAACTACAGATGAAAATCACTCAGGATACCAGAAAATGTAATCTAGAATTATATTAAAAACATTGCTATAAGAAATCCATGCATGACTCAGTATTAGGAAATATTAAGATATCACCATTGCATCAATAGGTCAAAAGAAACAAACTTCATTCTCATCTTAATAAATGTCAGAAGGCATTCAACAAAATCCAACATCCATTTCTGATAAAAGTTAAATTATATACAGAATACTCCTCCTGATATGGTTAAAAAATGATTTCAAACCAATAGCTTAACTTACATCATACTTAAGAGAAAAACAATAGGACAATGTTTTCCAAATGTATTTTTATCAAGAAGCATGACTTAAATCATAATGTATTAAAGAACTACCAGACAGAGCTCATCACACACACACACACACACACACACACACACACACACACACACACACACAATGTTAAGATGAGACCTTTCCTGTTGACTGAGTTTCAGCAGAGACTCCAAATCTGATCAAAATGCAGTAGTTATTGAGTGTCCCCAGCCTGGACCTCTTGGTATTAGACTGTGTATGTGCAATAGACTATGAGACTATAAAGTATCCCGCAGTGTTGCTCCACCACTCTTCTCTAGACTACACACAGAAAGCAAACCAATTGTCTACCTGAGGAGGGCTGCATTAACTATTGTCTCAGGAGAGTTGGTGGGGGTGGGAGGGGACAGAGCTAAAGCTAAAGTCATGAAGAGTCCAGGGGCATCCTTTGAAAAGCTTGATGTTGGTCCTTGGGTTAAAATGAGAAAGGACTGATATTTGATTGGCCCCTAAAAAGGTTAAAGGTGAGTGGCTGTGTTTGATTATGAATTTCAAGTAAGCAAGGCCAACTATAGGAATTAATTAGAAAAGTACAGTGAGCAAGGGAAATCTCTTCCTAGTACTGGGCACTGTCACGCACATCACTCTGTCACAGCAATGAGATGGCTGACCAATGTACAGTCCTATTGCACATCCCACAGGGGCTCGAGACAAGGTGACTCCTTCAGGAAACCTTTGGAAATCTTGGTGTGAGTCAGAGAGACATCATTGCCTGGGTGGAAGAAGCCATGAGTAAAAGATCTTAGTCATTGTCACAGAGGATTGTAGAGGAGCAAAACCCAAAGAATTCACAGGAGGACACCAAGAAAGAACACATCTCGAAACCATCAAGGTCACACATGCACCAATCAAGTAAGAGCTTCTGTCCTTGGCTTCCTGTATTCTGCCTTTCCCCAAATTCTCAGTTAATGCTCACCCCCAGGGAGGTTTGGAACAATAGCTCTAAGCAGATGAAGTTATGGAGCCAGATGTGGGAAGAGAAGCTCACCAGAGCTCCTGCCCAGGCTTCGAAGCTACCAGGCAAGGGGCAATGCTTTAAAAAATGATAGCTGGAGATTGGAGAGTGTTATGTTGTACTGAACTTTTTCATTGGAAAGGGACAAGCTGAATGAGAGGCACACTTGCAACATAAGGTAGAGTGGGGCAAAGTCAAATGGGTTGAAAGGCCTGTGGCGACAGATAAGAGGGCAATCTTTTCTTTAAGTTGTATACACTATAGCTCATTCAGCAGACTCAATAAATATGTGTATGCATATATTCATAAAGCCTTAAAATAAAACCGAAATTAGCAGTACAAACAGGGGACACGAATTTTCATTGCTGATGAGCACATGACATGTAAAAACATCTTTCACTTTAGATATTTGCATTATCCAGTGTGACCCAAGTGGCTAAAACCTAAGAATATCATGCTTATATCTTTTTTAGATCACGTAAAAATAATAGGAAGGCTGTTATTGCTGAATTACATTTCAAAATGAATGCAGGATAATTTCTTCTTCTATACTTTATTTTCATTGCAGTATAAAATACAAAATTCCAATTTTCACAGGTACCATTAGTGCAAAGAAGGTGACTCATAGCAAGATTGTCTTCCAAATTCCTGTAGAGTTTTTTTTTGGGGGGGGAGGCCTAACGGGGACATTAGAGAATATTCTGCTGTGTAACACACTCCAAGCATCCTAAGTAGTATGTGTACAGTGGAGGTTTATCCAAAGGACAAATTATGTTCATTGTACTTTTTATGACCTAATGCTTATTTATTCAAGCTAAATATCATTTCCCTGCTTTTAGAAATAGCAGGGTGGGAAAACAGCTTTGTCTTTGAAGTATTCTGACTTTGGCCTATTTGAAGATGGCTTGAAACTCCAAATACTGTGCTTAAAATAAATTATTATGTGTGCATGTGTCTGTATGGGGTGTTAGCGTGTGTGTTGCCCTTGGAGGCATCACATTCCCCTCAATCTGTGAGCTGCCTGATATGGGCACTGGCAACCAAACTCCAGTCCTCTGAAGGAGTGTAATATCTTTACTGATGAGTCATCTCTCCGACCTCTACACCAGCGGTTTTCAACCTTCCTAATGCTGTGACCCTTTAATACAGTTCTTCATGCTATGGTGACCACAACCATAAAATTGTTTTCACTGCTACTTCATAATTGTAATTATGCTGCTGTTATGAATCATAATGTAAATATCTGTGTTTTCCAATGGTTGTATGTGACCTTTATGAAAGGGTCTTGACCCACAGGTTGTGAAACACTGCCCTACACTGTCCTTTACTGATAACAGGCTTCATTCTTTGGCAGGTAATGTTTATTCATCCCAGAGTGTCAAACACTGTGATAAATGTTTTACAAACAATGCTTAATTTCACGCATGCTCTTTACAGTAGATACCATTATTGACCACAAACAAGGAAGCAGAGAAGCATTCAAAGAAAGTTTGTTCAACCAAAGCACCACCACAGTGTATGTTCTCCAGCAGAATAAGCCAACACAATGATGGAATGTATCTAGCAGACAGTAATATCAGCACACATAAATGTCACCTACCAGTGTCAGGCAACAAGGTGAGAGTAAATGAGACCTGTGTGTCAAATGCAAAAACCAAGGGGAAGTTATTTATTTCAGGACTCCATGTTCTCACATGCAGCTTTCTGTTGTCTCTGGTATCCCAGTAGAGACACACACTCATTGTGTTTATACATAATGTGGAGCTACCATGCAGACTATGCTGCATTTCTTCTGGATCATATTCAGGAAAGATCAACCTGCCTGCTTGAAGTTTCCTCTTTGATATCTCAGCATATTCCAAACAGAACTTGGGATCTTTCCTGATCTTTCTAACATTCTCTATCTTAGTAAGTAACACTGTTGAAGACAGACACTCCAGTTGCCTCTGCGTTTCTGTCCATCACCTTGAAAACTGACCCAATCACTGAGAACACCTGTTTTCTTCCCACCACCTCACTAATGTCCAAGCTGCCGCCATGACCATCATTACAGCCTCACCAGTGTCTGGTCAGATCAACTCATGCTACCGCTGATTATTCTCCCTGCTCTATCAAAGAAAACTCTCCTTAAAAATAAATTTTGATGGCTTTCTGCCATTTCTAAGTTAAAGACCTTCATCCTTGAGCACATGATCGTCCCTTTCTGGTTAAGCCTTTCTTATGAAGTGCAAGCTTTGGCACACTAATTCACATGCTGACTACTGATTTACTGTTTTTATCAGAATCATCTACTATTTTCTACCTCTCCTTTGCATGTAACTACTCTCCCTCTTTTTAAGCTGTCAGTTGTCCTTTTCTCAGGGAAAGCTTCCTTATTATATAATCTTGTAGGGCTAGCCACTTCTTTATAGGTATGTCACAATCGAATTTCACATTATTTTGGTTATTTTAGTGCACACATGCTCCACTTAAGTGAACGGTTATGAGGAAAAACACAAAGTGTGTGTGAGTTTCCCATAGGATCACCCATACCTAAGAGAGGGCCCATCACCAAGATGGTTATAAAATATTTCCAAGGTATATGACTGTCAAAATCCATAACATACCTAAGAATAAACTTAAGACATGGGAAGTGAGGAAAAGTATGAAATTTTACTGAAGAACATAAAACACTTAAGTATTGATGTAACAAAATATAAGTCATATACATATAAAGAAAATTTAAAAACCCTTAGAGAAATAAAAGAATGACTAAATACTTGGGGAGACATTACATGTTCATGGATAGTAGATTCAAGTTTTTCTGGATGTAAATTATTCCCAACTTGATCTGTAGAGTCAACATAATCCCAATCAAAATCCAAGAAAGTTATTTGTAGCCATCAAAAGCACCCCTAACTCTAAAATTAATACTGAAAAGAGCAAAGGCCCAGAAAATCCAATCCCATACTAAAGGGCAGAGGAACAATGTTAAGACCGATCGCATCAGACTCCAGGACATTATAACCCAGGCACTCTGCGATATCAGTGACCAAATAAATGGATAGATCAATTAAACAGAACAGGAAAGCTAGGACTAGGAATACAGTCAAGTGATTTCTGTCAATTTTGTGAAAGCAATAAAATGTAGAAGAAGTAATTCTTTTCAACAAATGATTCTGGAATAAGCAATTATCCTTATGCAAAACAAATTAATTACACATATATTATGTGTTTCATAATACTCAATTTGATGAATCATAGACTTGAATGTAAAACTATAAAACTTCTAGATGATAACACAGGAGAAATTCTAGCTGGTCCTAGGTTTGGAGACTGTGATCTAGATATGATATCAAAGGCATAATCCATGACATAAACAAAACTAAGCTGCAATTCATCAAAAATATAGAAACTCTTATGCAGATGATAGTGCCAGGAAAATGAAAAAAAATGTTACAGAATGGGTAAAAAATACTTTAAAAAGATATCTAAAGAAGAAAACAGCAGAAAAAAGTACAACCTGTTTTTTAAAATATGGATAAATGATATGAAAATTTTTCTCAGCAAGAAGATACATGCTAGTTATAATTAAGATACTCCACATTATATGTCATTTGGAAAATTCAAATGAAAACAAGATACTATGGCAAAACTTTTAAAAGTGATGGAAATAGCAAACACATGAACACCAAACAGTGGCAAAGCTATGGAGAAACAAGAGTCTTGATTGATTGTTGGTGAGATTGCAAAACGGTACAGACATGGTGGGAAATGGTTTGGCACTTGCTTCTAAAATCAAATGTGTTTGAATAATCACCACGTTCCTTGATAGATATGTGAATGTCTCGACAACTATGTCCCCACAGAACCTGCATGGGGGTATTTATAACACCCTTGTTCAGAACTGCCAGAACTTGGAAGCAACCAACACAACCCTAAGTAAGTGAAGGATTGGTAAACAGACATTGGTGCATATGAGTAATGGCGGATTAGCGCTTAAAGTGAACTGGCCTGTGAAAACATGAAAAGACATCATAGAATCTTATACTAATATTACTAAGTGAAAAAAAGCAGTCTGCAAAGGCTACAAATTGTGTGAGCCCAAGTAAATGATTTTCTGGAAAAGCGACAAAGACAGACACGGTGAAGGATGCTTAGGGCCGTGAGAGCACATAGTATTGTGGTGTTGGATGTGCATTCTTGTACATTTATCAAAACCCACAGGACGTATAGCAGCAAGGGCAAACCCACCAGGAAACGGTGCACTTTGGGTAATGATGATTTGTCTGCATGGACTTTTCTGATTGTAACTAGCATACAACTCTGATAAGGAACAGTGACAGTGGGAGAGGCTGCGTGTGAGCCGAGGCAGGAGGTATTTGGAAACTGTTCGCTCTGCTCCATTTAGCTCTGACCCTGAGATTGCTCTAAAACACAAGCAAGTTTTTTTAGGTTTTTGTTTTGTTTTTAATCTGAAAATGGATTTTATTTGCTTAGTCTTCTCAGTGGTCAGTAGTAGTGAAGACAGAACCTAAAGCCATCTTAATGTTGGGCAAACACTTTACTAGTGGGCTACCATGTCCTGAGCCCTCTCTCTCTCTCTCTCTCTCTCTCTCTCTCTCTCTCTCTCTCTCTCTCTCTCTCTCTCTCTCTCTCTCTCTCTCTCTGTGTGTGTGTGTGTGTGTGTGTCTACTCATCTATGTCTTGGTCTGTGGAAGTCAGAGGTTAATGCTGAATGTCTTTTTCTGAGACAGAGTCTCTCATAGAACCTGGAGCTAGTCAGTCTAGTTAGATCAGCTGGCCAGTCCCAGTGCTGAGGTTAGAGTCATAAGTTGTCAAGCTTTTGTGTGGGTGTTGGTAATCCTCCCTGAATATTAATGCCCTGTGTCTGTAAAATGGAATCAAATGGGAGTGTGTAAAAGATATTATAAAATATAATATATTACATTAAGTATTATAATAATTAGTGTAATGAAAATACACTAATTATTTTAAATCTTGTGATTTTCTCATAGTATTCATAAGTAGATAAATTCAGACCACTTCAGGTACTTATTTGCATGTTTGAGCTTTGCAGTAAAATTTAATTTTAATGAAAATTTAAATGCTTTGTTCTTTCACTAAAAGACAGAATCAAGATATCTGTTGTGATGTGTTAGGATGAGTTGTTGAAAGTTGTTGGGCTACTGTTGAATGATGGCTGAGACACCTTACAGACGTCACTCCAGTCACAGTCTGACAAATCTGCCGCTTTATGACTCAGCTCTGTATAGTACTCTGTAATTCTCTAAAATAATTTCAAGAATTTATATAAGATAAAACCACTTGTAAGTTTCTATGCTTTGGCATCTATACTGGCTAGTTTGATGTCAACTTGACACAAGCTAGAGTCATCAGAAACAAGAGAGCCTCATTTGAGTGAATTCCTCCATAAGATCAAGCTGTAGGCAAGTCTGCATTTTCTTATTGATGGGGGAGGACACAGCGCCCTGTGGATGGGGCTATTCCTAAGCTGGTGGTTCTGGGCTCTATAGGAAAGCAGTCTAAGCGAGCCATGCAAAGCAAGCCAGTAAACAGGACCCCTCCATGGCCTCTGCATCAGCTCCTGCCTCCAGGATCCTGCCTATTTGAGTTCCTGTCCTTGTCTTCATTCAGTGATAAACAGCAATTCTGAAGTACAAGTCTAAAAATGCTTTCCTCCTGCCTTAGTTAGGGTTTCTATTTCTGTTATGAGACTCCATGACTATAGAAACTCTTATAAAAGAAAATACTTAATTGGCCTTGGCTTACAGTTTCATAGGTTTACTCCATTATCATCATGGTGGGACATGGTGGCATGTGGGCAGACATGGTGATTGGAGAAAGAGCTGAGAGTTCTACATCTTGATCCACAGGCAACAGGAAGTGAACTATGTACCACACTGGAAGTAGCTTGAGCATATGAAATCTCAAAGCCTGCCCTCACAGTGACATAATTCCTACAACAAGGTCACATTTCTTAATTGTACCACTCTCTATGAGTCAAGCATTCAAACACATGAGGATATGGGGCCATAACTATTTAAACCAGCATACCTCCCCAGCTTACTTTTAGGTCATGGTGTTTCACCACAGCAATAGAACCCTAAGACAACACCAGCCTGACCTGTATTTAAATTCTGACTCTTAAAATGTTGGCTGTGTGACAATGGGAAAAGAGTATGGATAACTTCTGTGGCTTAGCTGACACACAAATAATCATTAAAATCTTATGAATGAAAGAAGGCCCAGATGGGTGATGGCTGGATAAATAGATAAACAGATATATAATGAATAAATAGATGATAATAGACTGATAGGCAAATAATTAGATGGTACATATATAAAGATGATAGATAGATGTCAGATATATTATAAACATACATATATATCATATGTATGTATATTAGATAGATATACAGATAATAAATGGCAGGCAAACGAGAATGATACATCTATCTTAAGGTACTGAAAAAGGTTGAAATTTTATCAAATCTGAGGAAGGATTTGAAAAAGCAATTTTAATATTAATCTAGAAGAATTATCATGCAGTTTACTGAGCATTAAAAGAATTATAAAGGACTGGAGAAATGATCAAGAACACTTCTAGAAGTGCCTGGGCCCTACCCAGAGTAAAATGACAGACTCTAGATATCCCCTATGTGGAAGGATTTGGCAATAGGGTGGGAGGGTGGGGGGGAAGGGGAGTGCGGGAGGAGGGGAGGGAGAGGGAACTGGGATTGACATGTAAAACAAGCTATTTAAAATTAAAATAAAAAATGATAAAAAAGAACACTTCTAGAGGACCTAGGTTCAATTCTCAGAGATCATATGATGGCTCAAAACCATCTATAACTTCACTTCTGTGATTCACCGTCTTCTCCTGGCTTTCAGAAGCAGCAGGAATGTACAGATAGTACACAAATATATGTGCAGGCAAAACATTCATATGCATAAAATAAAATTTAATAAAGAATCACAAGACATAATAATAAGATAATATTACCAAATAGGACTTAGAACTGTGTATTTAGTGTAAGGCTGACATCATAAATCACTTGGGAAAGAATAGTTTGTTCAATAAATTTTGTGGGAATGTTTGGCTAACCATTTGGCAAGAAAGAAATTTAATCTCTTCCTCAAGTCATATACCAAGATCAATTCCAGATGAGTTAGTGTATAAATGGGAAAAATTGAATGATAAAATTCTAGAATAAGATATGAGTGAGTAGGAAGGTCATCAAATACAGAGGACATACACTTAAAAATGACATTGTAAAAATGGATGCATTTGTAAAATATTATATAAAAAAGCAAGGCAACATGGATTGTAAGAAACCTCAAGGCACCTGCAGCTTCCAATGTTGGGGAAGGCTTAGCCTCTTGAATGCTGTATGTGAAGACATCTTAGCAGTGCCACAGAAGGAAACTGTTTCAATAGTAAGGTGTTTGAGCAACTGGATCACTGAGGTGTGACAAGAAATGCCAACGAAGGTGTTAGATCACACCACAAGTTATGAAATGAAAACTAAGATAATACCAAGCATCATCTTGCACACCTCAGGGATGAGGAGAAAGAGAAAACAGCCTTCATCTGGATCTGAGGAGGAAGAGCAGACACAGAAACGCTCTTCCCCGCCCAGGGCGTAAGCAAAGGCAAACACACAGCAAGTGGCACGGAGACATGGGCTATTTGGGTAGAAGAGACAAGAAAGGTATCTCGATACACTTGCTGTTTTTATAAAGAAACACTTGTAAAGAAAAGAGCATTTACCTCACAGTTCTGGAGTCAAGGACAAGATCAGGTAGCTGCATCGTGTGAGGGACTCGTTCTTCCTTCTAACGTGGAAGATAGCTGCCCATGGCAGGGGCGTATGTATGCTAAGGGTGGGTATGTGTGCATGAGTTAAGGGTGGGTATGTGTATAAAAAAACAAGCGTGAAGGAAACTCAGGGAGGACAGGGTTTACTTTTATGGAACCCACTAGGGGTAACCGTTCAGTTTCTTGTGAGTCAGAAGTCAATCCCTGGAGGAAAGCATTCATTTTAAATGCCCCTGTGATGACATGACATGAGAAAAGTAGCAGATAGGAGAAAGGGTTTATTTTAGTTCCTAATGCCAGGTGACAGTCCCTCACCGTGGGGAAGTGTGGGGGACAGGAGCTTAAAACACCTGGTCATGTCCCATCCTCAGTTGGGAGGAGAGAGAAACGGAAGTATGCATGCTCCTTTGCTGGCTTGTGATCAGCTTGACTGATCCATTCATACAGCACAGGGATCCCTAGGGAATGGTGCTACCCACAGTGGACAGGTTTTCCCAAATCAAGGGCTTAGTTAAGACAACTTCCTAGAGACATGTTCATAGGTCAACTTCAGGTGATTCCAAGTTGCGACAAGGTGACAATCACAAGTTCCTAAAGGCACCAACTCCTCTCTGCTTTGTTATAATTAGCACCAAACCGCAACATGAGTTTTGGTGGGGACAAACCATATACAAACAGTAGCACAAAACACAGAGAAAATGTTCAATGGTGAGTTTTATTGTTTCCTGAAATAGCTTTTCATGGAAATAGGTTTTCATGGCTTAGCCAAAAAAACAAACACCAAAACAGTTGTTGGGGTAGGGGGATCCCCATAGCATCAGAAATATAAATCAATCAAAACATGTATTTTTATAAGAAATTCCCATATGAGAGATTTTAGCATTTGATTCCTTAGAGTTGTTACTAAATATAAAAACTCTCCTGCCTCCTGAAGTGGAGACCTTGTGTCTACCCTGTTTGTGGTCATTTTCCTTCATGGCAGTATTTGAAAGCTGTAGGGAGCATAAGGAATTAATGCTACCATGGACAGAAGGATGTCCAGTGTCCTTTAGAGGTTCCTCACGGTATTTAGAGGTATTTAAAGAACAGCCTCATTTGTACATCCATTCATAAAATCCAACAACTTCTAAAAACTTTCAGAAGGTGAGAATGAGCTGGAAAGAGATAGATATGAATGGAGAAGGCAAATGGCAGCTGGAAGAGAACCCATGGACTGTGTCTGGATGGAGGAGCCGCCACTCAGGACACGCCAGGTCTGAGATCCAGTCCTTCCTCCACCATGCGGAAGCACAGCCCTGTGTAGGTCTGATTCCATTGATGTGCTTTGCAGCAGAGCATTTTTTGCTGCTTCACCTAATCCATCTCATAGGTTACAACTACTTAATTAACCTCTAGTTTGTCATACCATGGCAAACCTATCCCAGTCAGCAAGGATTACTTCAAGACTCCTCAAGGTGGTGCAAATGTGTGCATGAGTGTGTGTGTGTGTGTGTGTGTGTGTGTGTGTGTGTGTGTGTGTGTGTGTGTGTGTGTGTATAGTCGACCTTGGTGCCATCCGTACTGTTTTCTTGAGACAGGTCTTTCACTGGCTTGGAGCTTGCCAAGTGGGCTGTGCAGATGGCCAACAAGCCCAAACCCCCAGAGATCTACCAGTCTCTGCTTCTCCAAACCTGGGATTACATATACCACACCGACTTTAAAAAACAAACAAAACAAAAATATGGATTGTTGGAGATCTAACTTGTACCTGCAGGCAAATACCTCACTGCTTTATCTATCATCAACCTCATTCTTTTTACCTCTCTCCCTCCCTCCATCCCTCCCTTTCTTTCTTCCTTCCTATCCTTCCTTCCTTCCTTCTTTCCTCCCTCCTTCCAGTCCTCTCTCCCTTCCTCCCTCCCTTTCTTTTTAAGTGTATTTTTCTCTCATACAATGCATTCTTACCACAGCTTCTCCTTCCTCCCCTCCCCTCAGCTCCTCCTCCCTTCACCTCCCTCCCCTAGATACATTCCTTCCCTCCATCTCCACCCTATAAAGAGCAAGCCTCCCTGGGACATCAACCTCACATGGCACAACAATATACAATAAGACTAGATATAGACCCTCACATCAAGGCTGGACAAGGCAACCCAGTAGGAGGAAAGGGTCCCAAGAGTAGGCAAATGAGTCAGAGTCAGGAATCCCACAAAACGCTATGCTGATGAATACAACATACATGTAAAGACCTATGCAGGCCCCATGATTGCTGCTTCAGTCTTTGTGAGCCCCATGAGCCCTGATTAGTTGAACATGGCCTGAGTTCTCTTGGTGTCCTCAAACATTCTTGTTCCCACTTTTCCTAGGGGTTCCCCAGCTCCGAGGGGAGAGACTTGATGGAGACCTCCAACCTAGGTCCTCTCTCTGCCTAATGTTTAGCTGTGGTCTCTGCATCTGCTCCCACCAGCTGCCAGAGGAGTCCTCTCTGATGAAGACTAGGCTAGGCACCAATCTATGAGTATTATAGCAGAGCATCATTAGGAATTATTTCATTGACTCCTTTTTGCTGTTGTTGTTTTTTGCTGGTCATATTTGGCTCTATCCTAGGTCTCTGGGTTATTCAGCCTCCTGATCATGGTCATCAGGCTTGGGCCCCCTCTCATGGCATGAGCCTCAAATTAGTGGACCTCAGTGGCTGACCACTCTGACAAGTTCTGCACCACCATTGCCCCAGCACATTTTGCAAGCACAGCAGACTGTAGTCGAAAGTTTAGAGGCTGGGTTGGTGTCACAGTCCTACCACTAATTACAGAGCGTGGAGAGTACAGGCTCTCTATCCTCCACTGAAAACCGGGAGTCCTCAGTATGGTCACCCTTGTGAATTCCAGGGACTTTCCACTGCACCAGGTTTCCACATAGTCCCGCAGATGCTCTCAAATTCCAGTCTCTCTCCCTGTACTCTCTCTTTCCACCCCTGCAACCTGGTCTCTCCTGTTCCCATCGCCACCTATTCCCAGTCCACCCGCACAATCCTTTCTAGTTCCCGTTCCCATGGAGATGCAGGTTTCTCTGGAGCCCTCTTTGTTACCCACCCACTCTAGATCTGTGGATTGTAGCATGATTACCATTACTTAATAGATAACATCCACTTATGAGTGAGTACCTCTTTGCTTGTCTTTCTGGGTCTGGGTTACCTCACTCAGCATGATTTTTTTTCTAGTTCCATCCATTCGCCTGAAAATTTCAGGGTGTCATTTTTTAAAAAATCACCCAGTATTACTCTATTGTGTAAATGTACCACATTTTCATTATCTACCCTTTGGTTAAGAGACCTTTGGGTTGTTTCAAGTTTCTGGCTATTGCAAACACAGCTGCTATGAACATAGCTGAGGAAGTGTCCTTGTGAAAGAATGGATATATGCCCAAGAATGATATAGCTGTGTCTTGAGGTATATAAAATTCCAATTTTCTGAGAAACCACCATATTGATTTCCATGGTGGTTATGTAAGTGTGCACTCCCACTACCAATGAAGTAGTGTTCCCTTTGCTCCACATCCTCACCAGCATGAGCTTTTACTTGTGGTTTTGGTCCTAGCCACTTTGGCAGGTATTCAGATAGACTCTCAAAGTCATTTTGACTTTCATTTCCTTGATGGCTAAGGATATTGAGCATTTTTAAGTGTTTCTCAGATATTTGAGTTTCTTCTAATGAGAATTCTCTGTTTAGATTTGTACCCCATTTTTAATTAGACTGTTAAGTTTGACGGTGTCTAGTTTCTTGAGTTCTTTATGTATTTTGGATATTAGCCCCCTGTCAAATGTGGAGTTGGTAAAAAATTTTCCCCATTCTGTAGGCTGCCATTTTTTCCTGTTGATGGTGTCCCTTGCTTTACTGAAGCTTTTAAGTTTCATGAGGTTCCATTTATTAATTGTTGATCTTAGTGTCTGTACTAGCAGTGTTTTGTTCAGGAGCCAACCTCATCTTTTAATAGTGCTTTTGTATTCATGGTTCTATCTTACCTTAGCAGTTAAATCTGTCCTTAAACGGAGTCATTCTCTCTGTTTAGTAAAGGTCTATTTTATATGGACCACAACTTGCTTGTATGGGAAAGTGAAACACACATTTGTCCTAAACTTAGTAGTGTTGCTTAGTCTGACAGAACATGGTAATGGCGCAGAGCCACTCACTTTTGCCTCCGTTTTCTAGGTTTATTAAGAAAAGCTCACATGGTTCAGCTCTTCTGAATGCAGTCTGGAAACACTACATGACGGCAGAAAGCTGTTTCCAAAACATGGCTAAAGAGTGGTTCCAAAGGCTAGAGTGTTTCCCGATCTTCTTCTTGCTCCCTTTCTTGGCATCTCCATAGACAACATGGGAATGAAAACCCAGCCTCACCCCTGTGGCTTCACAGGACTTTACAACATTGTTGGGGTGCTCACTGATTTCCCAAAGTGTGGGGGTGCTTCTTGCCCTAGGCAGCACTCAGCCATTTTGCTGAGGAGTTGAGCCTTGGCCATCTGGCATTGATTTACTCTGTTCATCTCAAACCCTTCCAAATGATTACTTTATTGGGGAGGGAAGTGGGGGTACTACAAAGTGACACATATTCCCAAGAAAGCCTGGCAGGCAGCCTTTTCCAGACAGAGACTGTAGTGGCCTCCACCTGTCTCTCTCAGAGGGACAATACATGCCAGGGTTTCCTTATAGGAACACATCAGGATAAAGAAGGGATTGTTTTGATATTTCTATATGTTCATTTTATTTTTTGATCTTATTCTCAAAAGCTTTTGTGTGGCTTAGGTTTGAGAGACACTCTGGTGGTTCCTGACACCTATTTTGAGACAGTGAGTGAAAAGAGTCTGTTTCAACACAGTGCTTGGTAAGGTCTGGTTGGGTCACCCATGACCAAAGGAAATAAACAGAAACTGGGCTCTAGTGAGAAGCATAACTTCAGGGGATGGAAGTGATATTGTCAACAAAATGAACGCTGCTCTTCACATACTGTCTGGGAAGGAGACAAGGATAATGACTGTACAAGTGATTCCTTCGAGAGTCCTCTGGGCGAAACCCACAAACTCACTTGCAGGCACCTGGATGGGGCAGATAGTCATGAGAGTGTGTGGCGAAGGGGATACAGCTCTGACACTGCTGCCTCAACAAGGGGCAATGGAGAAACGCACACTTCCAGTTGGCAAACCTAAAACGAGCCCTAGGAGATCTGAGAAGAAAACTGCTCTTAGGATGAGAGTAACCGAGGAGACGTGGCAAGGGCTTTGAACTTAAGATCAAGAAACATCGTGTGCCTTGATGGAGCTACTAAAGAGGTTTGACCAGTTGTAGACTTTTCAATAGTGCTATCCTCTCCAACTGTGAACCATGAACTCATTGCAGGGTCTGTCAACTCAGCCGCCCAGCAGCCCTTCTGCATCCCAGGCCAAGTCCTGTCCTCAACTCAGGACCTTTTCTCATGTAGACCCCTAATGTAGAATACTGTTTCTCAAAGTCTGAACCTGGCTAACTTAGCCTGTAGGCTTCTGCTCACATGCCTTCCTCAGGTTAGGTCTGGTGTCCTCACAAGCATCCCCGGGGCACCAGGCTCGCTGTTTCAAAGCATTGACCGCAAACACTCTTCTCACTGGACTGAAGCTCCAGAAGCATAGCAGCCATTTTCTCTCATTGAAAATAATTTACGTCAATAGCCAACACCTGTGACAAGCATATATTAAGCAGGCAATAAACATTTGTTATAGATTGAACCAGAGGGAGCAATAATCACTTGCCTTGAGTACCTGCATATTTCAGGCCAAGTGAGTCTCGGGATTTATTCTTTCTCTTCCAAAAGAAACAGCCACTGTGGTAAGATATTTGGATTAATAGCACCATTTGATGTTTTAGTTTGCGTAGCCCTTCCACTCCATCTGCGCTCTGCAACTAAAGTTTCTTCTAATGTGTTCCAGAAGGCCCAAAATTTTCAAACGCAGAGGATTAAGTCTGATGGATTGTAGGCTACTCCCAAGAGTCCGTAAGGACTTTGTGGAACTTCTGTATTAGTGTTGAATTCACTCCCAGTCAGTTTGAAAGCATGTGTCCTACCTCAAAAGAGCCCGCACCAGCTGACGCATCAGGTTGGAGTAAGCTAATAAAAAGCAAAGTCACACAGCTTGGGAAACACTGTCTGTGAATTTTCACGTTCCACTGGCTTAAAAAAATGTTATCCGTGTTCAGGTTCGGGAGCGTGGAGTCTCTCCTCCGCTGTGAAACAGTGGGACCACGCAAAGCACACTTGTGACTGACAAAGGGACAAGGCTCACCAATACCAATTGCTCTGACTGGCCAGTGTCTGGGAGGTGTTCTACAAAGGGGGAAGTGTGAGTGCTTGGCACACCAGCAGGGCTGGTCATTCTAGCAGGGAGTATCAGTGGGCAGTCCCCAACCTTGCTTTCTAGTCCCTGCCTTGCTGGTTGATTTCTCCTGAATCCTTGTTCCTAACCTGAGAAACAAAGTCAATACAGGGATGAAGGATGCTCCTGTGTGGTCCAAAGTGCATTTCATTCGGTAGTCTGCAGCACGCAGATAGATGATGGTGCAAGGACATCAGTGGTGGAGATTCTTCACCCCAGCATTCCACTGCAACACCGAAGCATGGGGCTTCTGGGTGGGGAGAGGACAGCAGTGTGTGAGCAGGATGCCCCTGAGGTTTTCTCAGCTAATCCTCTCCCTTCTCACAGCAACTCAGGGGGACTCTATACATAAGTTAGGAAGGGAAGGAAAACGGGAGTCCTCTTGTATGGCCCTCTCCTGGGGCGATAATGAATGCCAGCTCCCTGCAGAAAGGGCATCAACCACAGACCAAATAAATGACTCTGCCCAAGTCTCTTGGTGAACCGATGTGCTTAATTAGGAGCATTTAATTAGGGCGAAGGCTATTTACAGAAACACGGGCAATTTACAAGCACAGCTTATCCACAGAAGGCGCTGTTTCTTCTAGCAACAGCAACCGCTTTTATATCCTCTGGGAGGGGTGGGGCTCCACGAGCTCCTCTTCAGCAACCTTTACTTGCCTGTTTATCCTGAGGCTGGGACAGAACCTGTGACCCCCAGTTGGCCCCAGCTTCCTTCTGTGTCTGATAAAGCTACCTGAGCGGCACATGAGCCTGAACTGTACCTGGACCCCAGTTGCAGGCTGCTGTGTGGGTGCATCCCAGCCCTGCAAAAGAGCACGGGCAGAGGGGAATGCAGGAACTCGGTGCTTTCACACAGTTCTTGAACGTGCTCCATCCAAAGGGCAATTCCTCCACAGTCGTGGCCAGGAGCATGTGCAGTCATCCGGGTGGAAGGCTCCCCCGTGAAATCGCAGGAGGAAAGGCACAAAGGTTAGTCCCCTGGCAGAGAGAAGATAAGCTCAGGGCTGGAGAGGGAGAAAGGTGGAGTCAGCCAAAGGCAATAAACAGCCTTTCAGGGGTGCCTCAGAGCAACACTGGGGAGGAGAAAGAAACAGCCAGTAAAGAATCGGGAAGGGAAGGAAATGACTGCCCTAAGAATGTCTGGGGCACTAAAACTATTCTAAAAATGCCTTTGGCAAGACAGCTAGAGAGGCCCTTGGTAAAAGCAGGGGGCTGTGTCCTCCTGACACCCCTTACAGATGATTCTACATCAGGGCAGCTTCCACACGAGGTAGCCAGGAGCCTGCACTCAAGGACAGGATACCAAGCTGGTTCTTTTTAAAGGACATCTTGGTGGCTGGAGCCCAGGTCTGGAATAGGATACCTCAGACCTGCAACCTTACACCAGCTCTGAAACCTCAGGCAATTCTGGAATCTACCTGGGTGTTTCCTCTCTTAGCGTGTAGCTACAAACCCCGCCTCCTGCGCAGACTCCTAGGATTCCATAGGCATGTTTTAGCAGCAACAACGCTGAAAGACCTTCCTCCTTCCCTGTAGGTCCTGTAAGCTCCTCCCGAAAAACTTCCATATCCAAAAACACTGAAAATGAAAAGATTTAAAAATTCACTTGAGGACAAAGACTGGACTGACCCAACTTGTCTGAATCAAAGCTGACCTGAACAGATGTTAGATCATTTCCTATGCTTAGATCACCTAGTATAGATATTTATATATTTAGATGAGGAAATATGAATATATATTTTATTAGGGAATGGTACTCTGGATTTCTAGAGAATATTATAGGGTATATGTATAAGCACACAGCTTCTCTGAAAACTAGAAAAGTCTGAATTATTTTAGTTTGAAAGGTTTTAGACTAATTTCAGGTGCCCCTCCCCTCAGCAGTATGGCTCTCCAGTTGGAATCTTGACCTTTGACCTCATAGTTCACACAGAATCAGCCTCTGAAGCCCCTCCCCCAATCCTACAGGGTCTCATGCTGCCATCCCTGCTCAAAAAATAGCAAGGAGGAGACTAATTTATTAGCTGTTAATGCTGTAAGGCAATAATCCCGAGCCCTGGGTTGCAAAAATCCAGTTGGAAGAGATGGAAATGTAAAGTGATCATAATGACGAATGGTCCAGCTCAGAAAATAGATGAGTTTCGGGAGAAGTTTCCAGAAGTCAAACTGACAGTAAAGTTCATGGAATTTTTGAGACAGAAGAGTGCTGCTTTTATCCAGCATAAACCCTTTTTGATTTCCACCCGGGCTTAATTTCTGTCTTATCTGAAGAAGCAAGGGCATTTCCCGTGGTGTGGAAGCCAGGGTTTTGAGCATAAGGGAATAGTAAGTTAATAGCAAGGTCTGCCGAATGACTTCCACAGAGAAATCTTCAAGTCACAGCCAGAAGTCTGGGTCACAGCAGTTTGCAGGCTGGGGCGGGTGGAGATGGCAAAGGGAGCCTGGTAGCCGGACACTGGAGAAGAGGGTTTGGGAAGGAACAGCAGCTCCGCCCAGCAAGCGTACAAGGTGAATGTGCACGTCTTACCTGCTCTGTAGTCATCCCTCCCATCTTCTAGCTCCAGGCCCGAAGAGGCAGCTGTCCCAGCAATTGAGAGTGTGCCCTTGCCATCAGAGTCTTGTGTCCGAGTGTGAGTCCCAGCCCTCTATGTCTTTGGTCATATTTCTTAATGCCTGTAAGTTCAGTTTCTTCCTACTGTACTGGAGTTGGCAGCCCCAGCTCCTTACCCCCTGAATTCCTCAAAAAGCAGATGACACAGGCCCTGTAAGGCAAATCGGACTGCCCAGCTGTGGCTCCATGCTCTCTGCCCTGAGTCACACCAAGCAGTGCCTCATGTGCACAAATCCATAGACTGTGTGTGTGTGTGTGTGTGTGTGTGTGTGTGTGTGTCCATGTCTGTGTCTGTGTGTGGATGTGGGTGTGTGCATGTGTGTGTCCATGTCTGTGTGTGGGTTTGGGTGTGTGCATGTGTGTGTCCATGTCTCTGTGTGGGTTTGGGTGTGTGCATGTGTGTGTGTGTCTGTGTGTGGGTTTGGGTGTGTGCATGTGTGTGTCCATGTCTGTGTGTGGATGTGGGTGTGTGCATGTGTGTGCCTATGTCTGTGTCTGTGTGTGGATGTGGGTGTGTACATGTGTGTGTCCATGTCTGTGTGTGGATGTGGGTGTGTGCATGTGTGTGTCCATGTCTGTGTCTGTGTGTGGGTGTGGGTGTGTGCATGTGTGTGTCTGTGTCTGTGTGTGGATGTGGGTATGTGCATGTGTGTGTCTATGTCTGTGTCTATGTGTGGATGTGGGTGTGTGCATGTGTGTGTCTATGTCTGTGTCTGTGTGTGGATGTGGATGTGTACATGTGTGTGTGTGTGTCTGTGTGTGTGTGGGGTGTGTGCATGTGTGTGTCTATGTCTGTGTCTGTGTGTGGATGTGGATGTGTACATGTGTGTGTGTGTCTGTGTGTGGGTGTGTGCATGTGTGTGTCCATGTCTGTATCTGTGTGTGGGTGTGGGTGTGTGCATGTGTGTGTCTGTGTCTGTATGTGGATGTGGGTGTGTGTATGTGTGTGTGTGTCTGTGTGTGGATGTGGGTGTGTGCATGTGTGTGTCCATGTCTGTGTCTGTGTGTGTGTGTGTGCATGTGTGTGTCATGTATGTGTCTGTGTGTGTGGGTAGGTGCAGTGAGCTCAGGCATCTGTGGAATCCAGCTGAAGACATTGGAGCTCTTGGAGCAGAAGTTATAGGAGGTTGTAAGCTGCCCTACTTGAGGGCTGGGAACTGAACTACTGTCCTCTACAAGAGCAGTAAGTACTCTAAACCTCTGAGCCATCATCTTTCCAGCCTTAGTCTCTTTTTATGTGCCCTGGCTAGCAACTCTTAATTTCATACCTTCCCTTCCCAGTCTCAGAAACACACCCCACACCATAGCATTGCCATTTCCTTCTTTTCTGTTCGAAGCAACCCACCCCAACACTTTTCTGTTCCCACCTTTCAGAGTGATGGTGGCCAGGCCCAGCTGTGCAGACTGCTTTGTGAAATCTACAGGGTGGGACGATGCTGTGGCGGGGGCATGCCCTCCCCCAGCTCCAAAACTTCTTCAATTTTGTAGGCAAAAAGGCTCCCAAGAACCTTTTTATCAGCTTCAGAAAGAAACTCTGGAAAAGGAATCATTTAAGATACCATATAGAGTGTGAAAATGTCCCTGCAGTTCTTCTAATTAGTATATCTTATATCGATTGGGGTGTCTGCACTTCTGGGGTCATTGGAGCACTCTTGCTTATGCTCCTCAAAAAAAAAAGAGGCAGACTCACAATGCATGAGGATTGAGAATGTGACTGGGGATGGGGCCAATGTGTCCTTAAAAGCTGATCAAGACACAGCAGAAAAGATACTTGTTAGATGGGGCTGATAGGCCTTGGAGATAAGGGAGCAGACAGCCATTCTCAGAAGCAGACTTGCTGTGAATCAGAACAGCTGAAGGGCCACAGTCCGTTCCAGGGAGTGGAGACTGTGCACTGTGGCACTAGGGGCTTGAGGCTTTGTAGTTCTTGAAGGACGGGAGGCACATAATCTTATGGCCTCAGTTCTGCCAATATTTCAGAGCCGCAAGGCCCTAGAAACCTTTTGTTTGGGACCTGGGGGATATAACCCAGTTGGAAAATGAGACCTGAAACTCTGATGGAGACAGACTGTAGATGCTGTGTCAACTCAGAAGACTAGGGAGCCCTGGTCTAACTATGGCCCCACAAAGCGCTTGAGAGAGGACAGCCATCTTGAATGCCATTCTAAGACATGGACAGCATTCATTAGCAATGCAGTGGGGTGTTAGAAGGGGAGCCTCTATTTTCAGAGGTGCAGAAGCCTTCGTTTGGGGTAACTGTGATGATCACCCAATTTGCAGACCACCAGCCACTTCGTTTTCTTCCAGTTTATTTTGTTTAGGGGGTCTGTTGTTCTTTTGGGTTTTATTCGTTTTGTTTTGTTTTGCTTTTTTTTTTTTTGAGACAGAATGTCTAGGCCAGGCTGCCATCTAATAAATATCATGTGTCGCTAAAACTGACCCTCAACTTTTGACCTGCCTCTGCATGAGTGCTGGAATTCTAGGTGTGTGCCATTGTACGTGGGGATCAAACCACCAGTGCTGGTGAGCACTCCACCAGCAGAGCCACACAGAGCCGTTGCTTCAGTCCTGACTCTGACAGTCCTCCTTTCCTCATGGGTTCCTGCTTGGGAGCTGCCATGGAAACATGGAGTGCAGCTGTATTCTTCTGGACAACTCTAGGGAAAGGCTCTGCAGATTAATTTAGAGCTATTAATTATAATGAAGTTATTATGCTTAAAAGTTTCCGAAACACTGATGGAAATCATTTATTCAGATAGAGTCCCTAGTTAACATGGGTAATTGGATTTTGGAAACATGTATGTCAATTTAGGGGCAGAGGTTGTTGCAGAGGACGGAAATATTTGGAAAAGGATTGTGTCAAACTTGTCATCCAAGATGAAGGGCTGGTTGCAAAGAGCAGAGATTCTCAAATCCTGTGACCAGCCCTGGATAGATGAGAGGCACAGCATAACCAAACAAACAACAAATCTCCTGCAGCAGATTGATGGCCATGAAGAGAATGTCCCGTAGGCCTTAGCAAGAGGTGTTTGCTGGTTTCTTTACAATTTCTCAGTGACTACATCCTAAATTGGCAAGACGTCTTTGTGTTGTCCAAATGCCATCAATGAGGTTAAGTGAGAATCATTCTTCTCTAACATTTCCTTAGGATTGCACATTTGTTAAAAGATTTATAGTCCCTTGTCCCTAAATATTCATAATATCTTTCTAAAGCAGACATTCTCATCCTGGGGCGGGAGGCCTCAGGGATGCTAAAGGAGTTCCAAGCAGGTCATGGGGATCAGAACTGTGTTTCAAGCAGGCTTGGTAGCCACAGAAAACCGTGAACTGCAGGAGGCAGATACTGGCTCCCAGGGCCCAGTGTTCCGAAGCTGCCAATCATAGCGGTGAACACGCGGAAGGGCAAATGTTTCAACCAAATGTTTCTGCCAAAATGCAGAAAAGAGAGAGGGACAAACAGTCGTTCCACAATCCCTTTCAAAATGCAGCCCCAGTGACCTAAAGCCTTGCACTAGGTCCCAGGAGATTTCTAACATTTCTTGTTAGCTCCATGCTGGGGCCCAAGCTGTTAATAGCATGGGCCCTGAGAGACACTCCAGATCCAAGTCACAGCACTTGGAGACATTTCAGGTCAAAGGGAAGTGTGTTGGTAAGACAGGGGAGAAGGAGAAGAAAGAAACAGACGTGTCCCCTCATCCACACAGGCTTGTGTTTGAGGACAGCTCCTGCCATCTTTGAACTTAACCCTGGCCACACTCCTACATGCACCCTGCAGATAACCTATTGCAAGCTCAACACAGCCTGGAGTCTTCTGGAAGGCAGGCCTCAACTGGGGAACTGCCTAGACTGGATTGGCCAGAAGACATGTCTGTGGGGAGTTATCTTGATTATTTATTAATTATTAACTGTTACATTTAAGCCACAGAGATGTCTATGCCTCTGTTAGTGTCCAGACACACCTTGGCCCCGCCCCTTGGGGACCCGGTAGAGTGTGTCACCTCTCCACACATGGCAAGCAGGTCTCTTCTTTAAGAGACAAGCTCCGCCTACTTCCTCTCTCCTTTTCTGCCATTTCTCTGAGGAGGCAGGCAGGTGTCTGTCTCCTCTTCTCTTCTCTTCTCTTCTCTTCTCTTCTCTTCTCTTCTCTTCTCTTCTCTTCTCTTCTCTTCTCTTCTCTTCTCTTCCTCCCTGGCTCTCTCTCTCCCTCCCTCCCTCTCTCTCCTATCTCCCCTCTTTCTCTCCCTTTCTTCACTCCCTTCCCTTCCCCCCAATAATTTTTTTACGTAAGTTCTGCCTGCCTGGTGTGTTTGTGTCGTTTCCCCCACCCCCCACCGTGGGATCCGCTAAGGTCCCCCTCGAGCCACATATCATAAGAGCCTCTGCCTCCAGAGTGCTGGGATTCAAAGCATGCGCCACCACAGCTGGCTCTCCTTCTTCATTCCTGTGAGGCATCACACTACACAAGTGTGTGCATCTGCTAAACTCAGAAAGGGTCATGTTAGATTTTGTGAGTTTTTACTTGAAACTGCTAGCTAAAAATGTTTTGCACATTCTTATATATTAAAGTCCTGTGGTGCTGAGTTAAAAATAGTTAGTTGATTTTTTCTACAAACTAGCTGAGGGACAAAGAAGAAATCACTTTTGCTTTCTTAGTGGAAAGGGGTTCATTTGAATTATATGCATCTTGTTTCTTTTCCCTTTGAAAATAAAAATGAACGCCTGCGTGTGAAGATGTGTGGATAAAGAGGTTTAGCGTGTGACTCACTGTGTCACTGCACTTTCCATGATGGGATTTTCCTTTTCTTCATTTCTTTTTTCCCTTAGATTTAATTTTGTTTTATTTTTCGGAGAGGGGAGGAGATGGGTGGGGTCGGGAGGCATGATGTGAAAGCTGTACAGAATAAATAAAAAGAAAGTTTAAAGACGAGCAAGGCATTGTAGCCATGTCTCTAGCCCCAGATACAATTCTTAAAGGCCCTAAAGAGCTAACAAGGTAATAAGGAATTGCGGACTGATTGGCTTTTGCCCTGACTGTATTTGTTGAGTACGCTGAGTTGAGTTGGCTATGGTTTCATGGAATCGGAATAACTATGATAGAAGCCAAAGGCCAGAATTCATGCAGTGTGGAGAAGGCCCTCACTCTCTCTCTTACAGCCTGTCAGGGTGAGATTGTGGGAGAGTCACTTAAACACTAAGCAACAAG